AAAGATTCTATGCAAATGACATATACAAACAAGATGCTCAATATGAAATGAATGTGTGCTGAAAATATCAGATGAATCAATGCTTACATCTTTGAGAAAGAGTACATCCTTTATTTCAATAATCAATCAAAATGTCAAACAGATTCATATTTTTGATAAAAACTATTGATTTATCTGCAAACTGTGAAATCTTAATCTGTACCGAGCACCTTAATACTGATATAAATTTGACCTGGATCAATGCATGTTTAGTGAAGATATTGTATATGTTATTAGAGTAGTATAGCAAAATTAGTATTAGCAATAATCGTATATCTCTTCTCAGCAGCCCTAGAAAATCAAACCCTGGTAAGCTGTTTAATAGGACATTAAGGTTTATCTTTTGAGCATATACTCGATGAAAAAGTAATTTGACAGCGAGGAACCGTTCCTTGTTAGCTCATTTTGGGCAACTATATTTTCAATATTAAATTCCAGCGTACGACAATTCTTTCGAATTACTTAATTTCTGTCGCCACAAAATTACAATAATTGAAGTAGATTTCAATTCTTTATTATAGTTATAATAAACCACGGCGATTCTTTTAAAAGAAAAATCAAATGACAATTACATTTCTTATTGACACAGCACAACAACTTTTTTATTAAAAAAACTACATAGACTAATACAATAATTGCTGCTGTCACTCTAGAACAGTTGCATTTCAAAAAGAAAAGTTTGGATTATTGACGACAAACTTTGGCTATGACTAATTAAAAATCTGATGGAAAAAAATGTGAAAATGAGAGTACAATAGCTGATAAGGTTACTATAAGGGATCGTCGATTGCAAGAAACCGATGAGGTATGTTGTCGAAGGAAATTGATATTTTTATTAGTTTCTTTTGTCGTCGGAGTACAGAAATCTACTCTAAGTTTATCTTGAGAACCATGTGTCCATATTTGCCATATTTCGTCTCTATGAATGGATATGCCACATCCGGCTTCACTCAAACTTGTATTAACAGTGATGCGATCACCTGGTTTTATCGAACCCTTGAAAACTTCTTGGACTTGAAATGTTACTTGTAGGTTACCAGCTTGTTTATCGGCCAAAGTATGAATTGCTTTTCCGACGAACACATTGGTAGCTTCGATGAAACTTTGTGAAAGCGGAATTCCACCGATACAACTACAGCTATAGACCGATTCTAGGAAGAAACAGTTAAGCCAAATGCTAATAACAATGAGTCGAGTAAACATGTTTCTGCACTGAATAATATCCTTGGTTTATTGTCTTCTCATATATATCAAAGAGAGACCGAGATAAAGAAAAATAAGAACAATAAACGGTACTACGTAAAGAGAATATTCCTGCTGATTATGCGTCAATGGTCATATTATTATCGTTCGAAGAATTGTGCATGAGCAGCGACATATGCATAATGCATACCAGCCAGAAAAAAACATTCGATGTATGTATTGAGATTGTTTCGTCTTTCATAGAGCGATAATTAGTGTTGTTAATGTTTGGAATAGATAACTCGTTTTTATTATCTTCCTTATTGATCTATAAAAGAAGAAAGCAGAGTAATAACAAAGCACGCACATTCGACAGCTAGATGCTTATTGGCTAAACCACAAACATATACTGAGTGTCTCAAAATGTTTTGTAGCGTAGTGTAATTTTTCACTAAGAACGTTTTTAGCTATTTTTCTCGTCTCGATCTTTATTGATATCTGAAATTTCCATCTAGTAGTCAGGAAAGAAAGATTTAGAAGAGTATTTGTTTCATTGAATCATTCTTTGAAGCCTGTTTCTATACATAAATAGAGAAATACACAATTCCAAAAGTCATCATTAGTGTATGTATAGGTATGATCGTGCGCGCGTGAGAATAAAAGATCATGGATTCATCCAGACTCACACGCATCATAATCGACACATTTGTTCTTAGCGCTGCTTCAAAAGTAAAATGATTCATTTGATCCGCAGAAACTCTTTTGCTATGTTCACAATATTTTTTTTCATGTTTCTAAAATTAAGAAAACATTGTCTTGCATAAAAAGATCTAAACAAGTTTTCGTCGATCTATTGTACATTTATTATCTTGTCATGAACTCATATTTCCACCATGTTTGATCACAAAACGATCGATACAACCACGTTCAAAAACGATTTGCTTTGAATAACGATAATGACTTGACCCGCTCAAAATATCTGTTACAACCCAGACAAAGTAGACAAAGCATCGGGTCGGTTATCTCATTTGCTCTTGCTAAGTATAATGAATAAGAATCTTTTTGACATTAACAGTTAGAGAAATAAAGATCAGTGAAAGATAGAGAAAATATAACACCTTCTTTCAAAAAACTTGAATATAAGCCATCGTTTAAATGATAGTATTGCTGGAATCAAATTCGTACTCAAGATATCTATCCTTTCATTCAGTTATTCACTATCATTTTTGACTTCGTATCAGCGCTTCAGTGTATGTTTTAGCGAAGGATTCACCATCGAGACTTGATATTGATCGATTTGAATGAAATACTTCCATGTAGATTTCTGTAAATAAACATAGCAAACTGCACATTACCTGTACCTTTGCTCGAAAGAAATACATTTATTTAGCAATCTTTCGGAAGTTGATATTGTTTTGTTAGTTTAGAATACCATGTATTTCATAACATGTTTCTTTTCTTCTTTTTCTTGTAATAGTATCAATATCTTTTTTTTGTTTTGTAAACCTTCAATATCTGTTTTTTCTTTCATTTCATATTAGCGAATTCCAATCTCTTTTCGCGCTTATTGCTATAGTTAGTGCATTGTATTTCATGATTCTACGAAATGAATTTTGAATACGTTTTCAATGGTCACTGTATGCATTGATAGTGAGTATTCATATTTTAGGCATACACATGAGACAATAGTATCCACATAAGTAATATATTAACAGTCTCAAGCTGCATTCATTTTGAAAAATCTTACGAGCGCATTTCACGTTTTTTCATGTCACTATAAAAGAAACTTATTGTTTTTTCTTGTTGTATTTAGATTGTTTACTACGAGCAAGAGTTATGAAGTATATATTATAGCACCACTTGGTTCTAAGATCTAAACAGATAACAAAATGAAAAGATAAATCAAATAAAAAAACGAATTGATTTGTGTTTTAGCCACAGAAAAGTGTGAGAAATGTATCCGTAAGATTTTCCAAAAATAGGGTAGGTCAAGGCTGATAGCATGCTGCTTATCTGAGTAGTATTGTCTTATTTATATACCTGATATATGAAAACTTACTGTCAATGTATATAAAGAAAATTGACAAAAAGCAAAGTGTATACATATTTTTGAGACACTGTGTGTATATGTACATGATTAAGGTACTAGCAAACTCTCAAATAGTCATAGTGAGATTAAAAATGAGACGATCGTTTTTTTGCTTTATTCCCTGATATATTGCACCTGATCATTATCTAAATAATTTCACTCATGTCTTCATGAAATATACCATAGTGACGTGTAAGGGAATGATGATGATGAGAATGTATTGTGAATGAAAACTACTCATGTAAGGTTTGGCAGAGAGGCATTCAACCTATCTTTTGTTCTAAGACAGTAATAGTCTTGATAAACTTTCTAAATGGAAACCCTCGGAAAGAGCAAATGAATAGAATGTAGTATTATAACTGAAGAATATTGAGATTATTTTAAGAAAAATTTTATAGCAATATTTTGATGTTTATGACGCAACTATCATCATTAGACATGAATTCAAAAAAGCAAATTTACAATAGAAAAATTTGATTTGCTATTTCATATAATTCTCTTAATGGTAGAATTTTACTGCATGTCATTCATTTTGACCGAATTCAATACAATAATCATACAAGAATATTGTGTATGATGTTTCGTATAGTCGAAAAAAATTCCACTGCGACGGCAATAACATTATCCTATATTGTGTTGTGAATAAACCATAGAAACGAAATCTGTTTTCAATATTATGTTGTTTTATATAAATATATATAAAAGTTAATAAAAACTTGTATTATGCATCGCGTTTTATTACAGCTTGTGATACTTTATTACGTAAAACAGCATATTATTGAAAATAGATTTCGTACTCGTGGTTCGTTCACGACGATGACAACAACAACATACGGTTATATTATCCTAGGTGTAAAATACAATTTATTTTCGGCTACAAGAAACATCATACACAATGTTGTTGCATGATTATTGTATTAAATTAGGCTTAAATGAACATATCATACTAAAATTCTATCATTAAAATAAATATATGAAAAAAAAATCGAACATTTCATTTTACGAGAGAAAACGATCTTTGTTTAGAAAAAATCATGCTATTCCTGTAGCATTTATTACTAAAAAATGTAGTTGATTGCTGATATTATTTGAAGTGCTAGTTCTAATAAGTTGAAAATCTTTGTTTTAGAATCAAATTTTTTGCTGTCTTTCGAACTAGATAATCATTTTCAACAAGAAATGTTTTTCGTATTCGACTTCTACCATTTAGCGTGATGATTTCATGTGCATGCACTTAATATCAATAAAAACATACTCTTTTCCTTGCCTGAATAGACAATCTTGTTTCGTTGTAAATATTTTGATCATACTCGTGTGTTTTAATACACGTCTTTGTATCCAAATTACAAACAATGCATGTTTTACTAACGTATATTTATATTACAAATGTGCCACTGCATACATTGAAAGAGAGAGAAAGAAAAAAGCTATTTTTTTCGTAAATAATTCTGATATAGCAATAGCTTCATGATTATCGTATTTGAGAGAACAGAAAAATAGATCTATTTTAATAATTATAGTTATGGACATTCTTTTTTATTGGAGAATTATGCTAACTACTATCCTTCTCTTCTCAGTCATTGTGATACTCATTGCATATTTATGGGTGTTGAAATCGAGCTATGACTATTTCAAACATCGTGGCATTCCTGGTCCATTATCTAGCTTTTTCTTTGGTCACTGTCGTATTATGTGGTCCATTGAGTCTGTTTCTCGTCAATTGCAAACATGGACACATCAATTTGGTTCAATCTATGGTCTTTTTGAAGGTACTCGTCCCATTTATGTTGTGTCCCATCCTGAGTTTCTTCGGGAAATCTACATGAAACAATTTTCATCATTTCATTCACGACATCTTCCTTTTATTGTTCGAATAGCAACTCAAAACAAAATGCATTTGTTTATTGCTAGTAGTTATCAATGGCACCGTCAACGACTTGTTGTTAATCCAACATTTTCAGCTGCAAAACTCAAACTCATGACAGCTTTGGTGAATGAATGTATCGAATCATTTATGGACAAATTATCAGAAAAATGTAAAGAACAAGCAGATTGTAATATTAATATAATTTACAAACGATTGACTATGGATGTAATTTGTAAGTAAAACAAAAAAAACGAAATTCAGTACTTTTTGAAGATAGGCTCTAAATTTTAAAATTTACATTTAGTCCTTCTAAAAATAATTCTGAGATGGTCAGGGAGTACAAAGATTTAAACTGCTTTCACCTATTTTGATTTCAGGTCGATGTGCATTCGGAATCAATACAAATATGCAAACAGATATAGACAATGAATATATGCATAAAGCCGAAATTCTCACGAAAAAAAGTTTCGAAAAACATCCCTTGATTCGATTGAGTTATTTGATGCCATGGCTTATTCCCATACTTTCATATATCGTTGTCGGTCAAGCTATCTTCATGCATGTTCTACATAAATGGAAGAAAACTGCTGAAGAATTACCGCGCTTTTGGTTTGTGGATCGTTTATGTCATATAGTCGATGCAAGAGCATCATTTGATGAAACACAGCGTTGCATTGATCTTCTACAGTTAATGCTGGATGCTTCTACACCAAATGAAATCAAAAGTCAATGTGTCTATTTCTTAATTTATAATCAATTTTTTAACGTACATAGTACATAGGATGATAATGATAGTGATGTTATGTCGAAAAAGCTTCAATATGAAGAAGTCATCAGTAATGTATTTTTGTTTATGATCGCTGGTTATGAAACAACATCGACGGCACTCACCTATTGTACGTATATTTTGGCAACACATTCAACCATTCAAGAAAAACTTCGTGCAGAAATCGACGAACAGCAAGACAAATATGGAAGTGATTATGATCGAGTTCATAATATGATCTATCTAGATTTATTTATACGAGAAGTCTTACGAATGTTTCCCATTGCACCTAAAGCTGTATCGAGAGAATGTAATGAAACAACAACTGTTTGTGGTTATGTCATAGAAAAAGGTCAATTCAATTCTTTGAAAAACAAATTTTTCATTTATCTGCAACATACTATTAGGAAGTGCCATTCAGCCAGACGTGCTCTCACTGCATTATGATCCAGACTTATGGGGTCCTGATGATCCAAATTTGTTTGTACCTGAACGACATTTGACTCGGCGACATCCAATGGCATACATGCCATTTGGTCAAGGTCCATGCAATTGTGTTGGAATGCAATTTGCTCTAATGGAACTTAAATTGTCTCTGACGCGTCTTCTTCATCAATACATCATCTTGCCTGGCGATGAAATGGAACAACAATTCAAAATTCATGAGACACATCTCTTTTGTCAGCCAGAAGCTCTCTATATCAAGCTTGAAAAACGCTTTTGAATTTGTTTCCTTTTGCCTTTTTCAAATAAAATCAATACTTCTTTTTACTTCGAAAGTTGTTTTCGTGATTGGTGGAGGGTATGAGTATTAGTGTCGATCATTCTTTAACCCTCACACACACGTACCCTTGCCAACATGATCCCAATAACAATTGAAAGAAAGAATTACTTGTTGCGAAGAAATGACGTCAATGATGCCAAATTTCGACAAAATTCTCTGAATATGTGGTTTTCAGTTTTTTTATTGTGAAATCAAGCGCATTTAGAGTCAATAATTTTATTCAAACTATAGGTACAAATTTTCCTTAAAATCATTATCTATTTCTCTTTTATTGCTTTATACAATTCTTTTCTCTCTATCTTAACCTGCACATATGTGGTAAGAGTTCGTATTTCATAAAATTTTTTCTGTTATGCGCTAGAGAATGATTATTTGTCAGATATTCGTTTTTGATGGATTGGATTACTTTTTCTTGTCCTAAAAAAAGAAAAAAAAAAACATTGAAGAAAGTTAACATTTTTCCTTTCTCTCCTTTTTCATTGCTTATTTCTCTGTTCTTGTCTAGTGTGTGCATTATTTTGTAAATTCAGGTACTCATCTGACGATGTTGATGTTTTGTAACGATGGAACATGAGACAATTCTCTTTTTGTTAGTTGGTTTACTTTCTTTTTTTGTATGTGTTCAGACATCCTGTGATTATTTCAATTAAAAGATTTTCTAATGGAATGAATCAGTTTTTAAAAGGAAAATATAGAATCTTTATATGAACATGGTAGCACATCGAACTATAAAGTAAACCGGGACTGTAAATAAGCATTTTGAAAAATGAATGCATCTATTATATTGTTTACCTTTTGAATTCCTGATTATTCCAGAGAATGAAAGTATTTTGGACTAGACAGTCTCTCAAATCCTTTACTGCAAAGTTATAACTATTTAACCAAGGTTATTATATATTGCTCATAGTTTTGAATGAAAGAACTTTTATCTGAAAAGATATTTATTGATATTTCTAGTGAAATTTTCAACAAGAAAACAATTGGACAATGATATTCGAAGTTTTATGAAATGTCAAGAAGTCACAGGAAGACTGATTGTCTTCTTGAACATTCAATTTGAAATGCCATGAACATGTTGGCTAAAGCAAAGAAACGATGGTTTTCATTAATTATTATAACATTTGAAAATTCTCTTTGAAATTTAAAATTTTTTGAAAGATGCTTTTTTAAAATAAAGGCCAACAAGTTAAGATTAGAATCTTATAAGAAGCAATCATGAAAGTTTATTATTTTGAACTTTCTGATCTAATCAATTCTAAAAATAACTTTAAAATTAAAATGACAACTAATTATTCATTTTTAATGTTTTACGAGTAAAAAACCCGCAGGTAATAGAGAATTTCGGATCTCTAAATGATCAGAGAAAGGCAAATAAGAGTAAGTAGTCGTACTCGACAAAGTAACCGCTTACCCAGGTCTATGCTGTAGTCAAATGAGTCTGTTCATATTTGTGTTGATATTTCAAAACGAGAGGTGAAAGCATAGCTATCTCCAGCGGCTGAGTATAACAAGAATATCGTATATATATATATATATTTCTCGGGCGTATTTGTCGATAGTGTTAAAAAAATATTGTTTTCGGCGCCATGTCTTTAGCAACAAATATTGAATTTACCCTTTTTATATGACTATTCTACCAACAAATATACTTTTGTATCAAGAGAAGAAACTTCATATAAGAGAATGTTTAAAAATGCTTGAAGAACAATTGGAAAAACTTTTGCAGTGTTGCGATTGAAAAAAGTAAAAAGTTTCTAGGTTTGGGGATCAACTACATCATTGGCTTTTTATAATTTATCTTTCAAGAACTCAAGTAGTATTCGTAACATTCTGCCTCATCCCTCCAGAAGAAAAGGTCATGGCTATTTATTGTGAAAATTCAGAATCGTTCCTTCAAAGATGGTTATATATGGTGAGCTAGCTGCTTGCTAAAATTTCTCTAGAAAATTAAGGATTTTTAAAAATCTTTTTCTTATTCAAACAGGCGCTTTTAGCAACTAAGTGCCATAAAATCAAGCTTTTGTTACTAGAGAATAAAAGCAATTTTAGTTATAAGAAAATGTTTTCTTCTTACTCCAAGTCCAGCTTTGTAGGTGTTATATCTCCAAATTTCACTGGATTTGTGAAAAAAGCTTGTGAAAAACGCATGAAATTTCACGACGTCATGGAAGGTTTTTGTAGATATCCTTCTAATATAGGATGTTTTTTCATTGTAGGGACTTTACTCAAGGAGTCGCTATACATATTAGAAAATGTCCATATTGACCTAATCCTGTAAACGACGGCGCTGAAAGTTAGCACAGAATATCCTCAATGTTTGATGCAAAATGTTTTTATTGAATATTTCTTTCTATCAATATCTTTATTAAACGAAGGATAATTATTTTTGCTGAACAATGGATTTATAACAGTAAGAGTTATACATATTATAATAAAATATTTGTTGACATAATTTCTGTATGATCCATGGATTTTTTTGTTTTTTTTCTTTGGAACAGATATAAAAACTGCATTCAGCATCATTTCATCTTGCACGTTATATATCTGTCATTATATATTATTGTTTATTTATTTATAAAAAGAATAATTACTGTTTTATAAATCTCTTCCATTTGACTTAAAAACTTACATAACACATATGGTTTAGTTCTGATCGTTTTTTTAAATGAATATCTAAAACAAAAACAAAAAAATGAATTCTTTCAGATACGAAAAAAAATGCTACGTCGACCGTTATTTGTTCTCCATTTATATATTCTTTTTACTGGCATTTTTGCTCAGAGATATGGTTCTAATATTCAAAATAGTAATACTAAACATAATGATGAAGCGCCATATTTCAATCAGAAAAACAAATTCAATCATCAATTATTGGCAATAAGTTTGAAACCAAACTTTCAGAAATCGATACAGCTAATAATGATGGCTATCAACAACCAAATGCTGACAAATTACCATCACAACGATCAATTGATGCTAATCGCTAATCATCATCGATATCACTTGCTAGTAGTTATGAATGTAGAGCTGATGTACAAAAATATTGTGATAAACTGAGGCAACAAGTGCTTTCAAATTTAAAAGAATTACAATGTGTTGATGATCTTGATAATGTAAGTTTTGTTTGTCTATTTTGGTATAGAAATAAATTATCTATCTATATATATATTATAACAATAGGCTACAACTTTAATTAATATTGATTGTCAACATGTAAGTAGAAAATTTTATTTATTTTTGTATATTAAATTAATCGATTAAATTTTATTTTAGCTTATCTATAAATTTAAATATAATATGACACATGATCCACGTTTTGATGATGCAGTTGAAAAACAATGTGCAAAAGATGTACAATTATTTGATGAATGTGAAAAACTTATTGATGCACGTGGTTCTAATCAGATATGGGCAGCTCCGACTCCGGAGCGGTGGCTCCATGGAGCTAGCTCCGCTCCAGGAGCGAGAGCGGAGCGGAGCGATTCATCAGAACGGTGGAGCTGGAGCGGAGTCGGAGCGACATTTTATTTACAGCTCCAATGATAAGCTCAGTTTTCGATTTATTGTTCTATAAAAAATGACGGAAGAATTAATGAGAGAAAGCTCGTCATCGGCGAATTATCGAAATGGATAGCCCATTGTGACATTTTAGTCAATGACAATCTCTGAAACAATGGCTGACCGTTTATATACAGTTTTCTTGTTTGTCTAATTGGACTAAGATATTGTTTCTTTGGAAATGGAAGAAAATGACGTCGAGAAAGAGAGAAATTGCATAATATAAAATGTGAAAGGTGAATAGTGCCGAATCAGAATAACACTTCTCAGCCAAGTGTCACTTGAACGAACACGATTATCATGGCAAAAAGAATTCACGAGAAATTCACTGAACACAGCTAATCATAAAGCATAATTAAGAAAATTTCTTGCAGGAGCGGAGTCGAAACGGAGTCGGAGCGGATTTTTTTAATTAAGGGTAGAGCTGGAGCTGAGCGAGAGCGAATACTTTCGATAGAGGAGCGGAGCTAGAGCGGAGTCGGCAGAATATTGCTTAATCTTGAGCGGAGTCGGAGAGGAGCGGTCTGTTATTGACTGGAGCTGGAGCTGAGCTGGAGATAGAAAGGGTCGGAGCTGCCCATCTCTGGTTCTAATCGTCTTGTGTCATGTTTATATGATGATTTACCTGACATAACTGATCTATCCTGTCGTTATTTTATTAATCAATTGCAAGTAATTATTTTCAATGATTGGCGTTTAATAGAATATTTTGTTGATGCATGTGTGTTGGATATTGAAAAATTAGAATGTGGCCGATTAGATGATGATAATCAAGATGTATGTATTTACTGAATAAAACAAAAAAAAACACACTTTTGTATCTTTTTAGTTATCACATGAACAAGGTGCTGTTATTTAATGTTTATTACAAAAACATAATCAATTAGATTCACAATGTCGAAAAGAAATTTTTCATTTAGTTGAAATGTAATCGGATGATTATCATCTTGATCATGCTTTGTATTAGGCATGTCGTGATGATCAAGAACGTTTATGTGGACAAGTTGCAAGTGGTAGTGATCGAGTTTATCGTTGTCTTTATGATCAAAAGTTTAATAGTATGATGTCATCAGCTGTAGGTCATTAAGAGTGTTTTCTGTAAGAATAAAACTTCTTGATCAATAAACTTTAACCAAAACTAAATGTAAGGGTGTGAGGTGTGGGTGTGGGTGTGGGTGGATGTGGGTGTGTGGGGGTGTCGGGTGTGTGGGGGTGTCGGGTGTGGGTGGGTGTGGGTGTGGGTGGGTGTGGGTGGGTGTGGGTGTGGGTGTGAGTGGATCTTGGTGTGGGTATAGTGCGTGCGGAGGGAATACACACGGACATCCACACCCACACCCGCAGAATCTGCATTGGAAATTATTCTAAACTATTTTCCATGTGATCATCCTGATTTTTAATTATGCTGAATTTTATTCGTGACATCCATGATTTTTTTGGGAGATTTTTTACAATTTTTGGTGGACGCTTACGAATGTATGCAACGGACAAGATAATGATAACAAACAGAGAAAGAATACAAAGAAATGAAAACGAACAGAATGAAAATCGAAATCAAGCCACTGATGACGATGTAGCGTGCATCGTTGCTTTTCTTTTTATCTATTCTTCCGATACCATATATCTTGACACCGAATGCACCATGCCGAGGGAAGAGATCGAACCTTCTGATCTCTGACTGTAATCAGATGCATAGAACCACTACGCCATCCCCGGCAATCATCCTGATATATTAACAGTAGGCGTATGAATCGGAGATCTTAACAAACAATCGAATAATAGGTAATAATACTTAAAAAAATTACAATTTTATTGTAATAAACCTGTTCGTATTCAACAGCAGTAATTCTAGAACAAATTTCAAATAATTATATTGTTGATGAAACGTACAATTCTTGAAATCAATTACCTATACAAGTACAAAATATACTTCAAATCGAACCAAATCGCCATGTATCTGCTTCTGATAATTCGATTGAAATATCAGTCATACTTGATCCTCCACAAGGTATCATATCTTTGATGTTAATATTGAATTATAAACTTGTCCCAGAAAATATCATCATTGAACAAATCCACACCATTCCGAATGTTAACACACTTGATAGTGTAAAACAATTCACACCTGATAATTTACCAACATTTCTATTAAATAATAATACATTGTCTACTTCTAGCCAAACTTTTTCTACTACCAAAACAAACAAATATAACTTCGAAATCAAACGGTAAATTAGGTCACGAAAATTTTCGTATATATACAGATCCTTACTCTAGAAAAAACCATGAATTCTGAAGAAGAATCTAATTCTCATGAACGCTTTTGTTCAACATTTTAGCATGCCAATACTTTGTTCGAACTATACAGAATACAAATGAATAGGAATATTAAACACACAGCATAAGAATCGAAAGCAACGTATCACATCATACGACCAATACATAATAGAGCATTATTTGTCTCAATAAGGAAATTATTAATATTTCAGATTATGAAGATGGTATTCTTATACATGGAAGTATCGATGGAAATGAATTTTCATCAGTGTAAATATTAATTCGCCGATTGATTTCGTTATGAGAAAACAAAAAACAAATTGTATAGATAACTTATCAAAGGACGACTGGCGGTAAGGCCACTTTTCGGCCCAAAATATTTTCAAGAAGTAACTACATGATGGTGACCAGATCCATATGGGCTACAAATATCACACGGTCATTTTGTTTAAAATCACTTCCGGATTTTCGACCCCCGTACTCCCCTAGGGGATTCGAAAAAATTTTTTTTCAAAATTTGCCTTTTTAAAGCTGTTAGAGATATCAAGTCAATCGTGTTGATCATAAATATCGCTATCTCACAATTCAAAAATGTAATCCTGAAAAATAAGACCATTTTTCCAATCTCTGAATTCTGAGGTCAAAATCAGATTTTTGACCCTCCTCTCACATAGACTAGTGTCTATAAGGTCTAAAAAAGCATCTTTTTGATGCAAATTTTTGAAGCTATATCCGAATCTGCATGAATAAAGATCATTTGAAATGCTCAACTGCTTTTTACAGCAATATACGACGAGAATCCTGATAGAATATGCATGGACGCCCTTCTTTATAGGGCTCCTACTGCACTGAACAATTTTGAACACAAATGAGGCTATAGTAGTTTGATGCAGTTTTTCATGCTCTATCCAACTATGGAGTCGAAAAGGATAAAAACGGCTGGCATCAGGTCAAAAACTGCGATATACCAGCAAAATTCCTTATTTTCACTCCTATTTCGAGATTTCGACAATCAAAACGTAAGTTTCATGCAAAGTAGACATGATATTCGGAATCAGCATCAAAATCTGCATCAAATAACATATATTTTATCAAAAAACTTTTTTTTTCTCAAGAATTCGATCGTACTCCCCTTCAACGATTTTTACTCAATTTTGCCCTGTGGTCCCCCAAAGGGTCGAATTTTGACGAAAAATTTTTTTTGATAAAATATATGCTATTTGATGTAGATTTTGATGCTGATTCCGAATATCATGTCTACTTTGCATGAAACTTACGTTTTGGTTGTCGAAATCTCGAAATAGGAGTGAAAATAAGGAATTTTGCTGGTATATCGCAGTTTTTCACCTGATGCCAGCCGTTTTTATCCTTTTCGTCTCCATAGTTGGATAGAGCATGAAAAACTGCATCAAACTACTATAGTCTCATTTGTGTTCAAAATTGTTCAGTGCCCTAGAGAAACACTGAAAGAGAGTGCCCTCCGTTTACCTTACCTTAATCCGCCTCGTGTTTCACAGTTACAAAATGTTAAGTATTTCCAATCATCTTTATTCGTTGGAATTCCGATAAAGCTTGAAAAATTACATATTACTGATACTCTTTCAGACGTTTTAGAGGATAGGTCATGGGATATGATAGCCAAAACCCAGGTTTGAACCCTAAAATTCAAGTATAAGTCGAACTCGAAATTCAACATAGCGTCACATTTCTAAGATTTATGATGGCGATATTCGTGATCAGCACGATTGACTTGATATCTCTAACAGCTTTAAAAAGGCAAATTTTGAAAAATAATTTTTTTCGAATCCCCTAGGGGAGTACGGGGGTCGAAAATCCGGAAGTAATTTTAAACAAAATGACCGTGTGATATTTGTAGCCCATATGGATCTGGTCACCATCATGTAGTTATTTCTTGAAAATATTTTGGGCCGAAAAGTGGCCTTACCGCCACTCGTCCTTTAGACAATAACATTTGAAATAGAACTTTTTTACATGTATTCAATATCTAATATGACTTTTTACATATGATAAAAAAAACACGACAAATAGACTTATTTTTTGATACAAATCACTATCATTGATAATGATGTAATAACCTAAAACAATAGATAAATTATTTTCGTATATAATACTCGGTAAAACTTACCATAAAACTAAGCATCCCCATTTGAGTACAGAAAAATTTGTCGTTCATAATAGTTATCTGATTGTTCATTATGTCCAGTTTCTTATTTAGATCTTTTAATTCCTGAATTATTACTTGCATTGCATTGTTATTATTTGAATTTGGTGATGAAGATGCATTGGAATTTGGTGGCGTTTGTGGCATATTTGGTGGTTGACTTTCTGTTTCTAAAGATGAAGCTCATGCAATACCATTTACGACGACAAGTAACGGAATTGGTACTAGTTCACTTTAGACATAAGCGAGAACAGGAAAGAAAATATATTCATCGAAAAATGTGACCAACGAAAAGAGTGAAACAAAAATAAGAAATGAAATGATCGAAAATATATAGATGGCTACGATAGATGACGGTGATATATTGGGCTGTTCAAAAATTAGGTCATTTTTTAAAGTAATTTTGTTTTAAAAAAATGGAACAACAGCACAAAAAAAGGAATATCAAACAGGGTACAGTTGGGTGACTTGTTCTTATAACAGCAGAATGAGGCTTATTATGTTATGCATACAGGTAAAACAAGTATTTATATTTTTCAGATATAGTTTATCAATTTTTTTCCTTCCATTGCTTGCCACTGTCATCTATTGTAGCCATCCATATAATTTCGATCGTTTCATTTCTTTTTTTCGTTTCACTCTTTTCGTTGCCGTTTTTATTCTATCAAAGAAAATCGAATGTTCAATTCAATATTATTAATTTTACTTTAAAAAAATCGAATAACAAAGATGGCTGCCATTAAAGGCATTTTTGCCCTTCATCAAAATATTATGTCGTACATAATAATAATCTATGGTTTGGTGTAATGGATTGGTTTAGCGTTCGCCATTTGTTTCTAAGCTACACTTAGTAAATACACATCAACTAGGAATGAAGATTTCAATTTATCCTAACTTCAAAACCACTAATTAACAAAAGTACCAAAGGATTTTGGGTTTAATGATTAAAAATTATATAGATGCCTCTAAATTCACATGGGTAGTTGAAGAGGCTTCCTATGACTACATTACATGCAATGACTCTCATTTCTGTGGATCCGTTCTTTTGCACTTTTTATTGAGAAAATCTTGTTCTTTAAAAATTTTTGAATTTCTTAATCGTATAAAAGCATTTGAGTCTGTGCTAATGAGCTCTCTTTTCATTGTAGTCTATTAAGATAACGTGTATGATTAAAAACATTTTTTTGTTGGATCTAAAGTACACGATATTCACTTTGTCCTCTGTTATCCTTTCACGGCAATTTATTTTTAAGCTCAAAAAGATTAGTTTATATTTATTTCAAACCACCGAATTTCATCTTCATCGTTTGGAATAAGATGCAATACAACAAAGCGAAACATATACCATCATTTATATATATTTCTTTTATCTTTTTTCATAAGACCTTCTGTAAGACAATTTATCAATCTTTATGTAGCTCATTTATGCGTAAATGATATATTAATTATCTATTAATGGTACGATTCAAATAGGAAAAACTTGACCATCGTATTCCTCGTTCTAATAATTTGCAGAAAAACTCTAAACAGCCCAGTCTTAAAATTTGTGACACTCAGGAGGTAATTTTACGGTATGCATAGAAAAGACCGAAACAAAAAATGTCGAAACAAAAAACATCGAAAAGAAAAAC